AATTCATGATTGGGTAAGAATGTAAATAAAAACACAAAGCCATGCATGTACACAAACGTATATATATCCAAACTTCCTTCATATCACATCAATCCACCGCATTGAACTTCAACAAACAACACAAAGATGTTTGGGCGTCTAGGACTTACCTGCTACAATTATGAAAAATGATGGCATCCGTGGAGTCCCTTGGAACGGCACAACCTTCAACTTAAGAGGAAAGTAATAATAGCCAACTAGTAATTGAGACAGTAGGCTCGAATTTATTGCTTGAAACTGTACAAATAGGAAGAAAAGTAAAAAAAAAGAAGATAACAGTACAGAAATCACCACTTTGAGGAGGGTGGAATTTGAGAGCAAATCGTTCGGTAAACTTGATACAAACGAATAAATGAGAACAACAGAGGCGCGCATAATAGTGACGCATTACAGTAGCCGAACTTTTCTATAGATGTCAAAACAAGAGACGAGAGGGGTTATTCATGGAACCTTTCGCAATACGCACCACGAGATGACAAGACGAGGTGATCGATGCTTACAAGCCGTATCACGATTTTCACCAACTTTACAACTGTGCTAACAAAACGTCGGAAAGAGACTAACCTCGACCCATATCGTCACGAAGCCCACTCATCTAAGCTAATGGTCACGAGCTTTCCAACCTTTAAACTCCACTTCAAGGACGTAAAATCATCTACCCTTGAAAGTTGAGAAAAAAGGAAAATATTGGTACCGATTGCCAAAATAATAAAATCCAATATAAATTTCCTCCAATGAAGAGATTTAAACAGAAAATGCACACCGATATTCTGCTCCTCTTCTTCATCTTCCCTCTTTTTTAGGCATTGGTCAACCAATTCCCGATATCGCGTTGACCGCTTCCTGCACCAAGCCAGGTGTTTTAAAGACACAGCTGCGTCTCCACGTCCCCATAGCCTTGCGCCTCCGGATCGCGTGGCTAGGAGGGCCAAAATGCGACGATGGATGTAGGCAGCTAGCCAGTCTACCAATCGCAGCTCGCCTTTTGTTCTCTCTACTAATAAGAAGAGACGACTGTGGTCTACGGCCTCTATTAAGCGATGGAGACGACTCATGAAGGCGATTCGACCCACAGGAAGGATGCGTTCGGCTTGAGGCGATGTTATCAACCCAGTCGAAGTGACTGACGACATAGTGGGGGCCGAACATTGCGCCTTTGGAGGAAGACTGCGCGACTGGAGATGGGTAACAAGAGAAACCGCAGATACCTCCATAAGTTGGAATGATCATAGACACCAGGGGAAGAGTATTATTTGATGCTGTTGGTTTAGTAAGGAAATGCTTTGTGCACCAGAAAAGTAATCGGTCATCAAGTAAGACAAGGTGTAGTACTGATGTAATTAAATCCGATGGACAAAAAATGCAAATTACGTAATTTTCGAGTGCTCTGATCAAGTTTCAGCAATGGAGACAAATTACAGACCCTACAGGGTGTTACTACAGCACGAACTATTTTCAAGGCAGTGACTTCACATCAAATTACTTACAATACAAGTGAAACGAGCTGGGCAGCACACAAATACACTGGTCAGAAAAGGACAAAATGCTGACAGTTTCATTAAATAGTTAAGTCTGTGCATTTTCTTTTTCTGTGAGCTAAACGGGAATTCACAAAGAAGGGAATGAGTTGGATTTGAGATAATTCAGTGAAAAAGCCGAACGCTAGGAGACAGTAATATAGACTCACTTTAAGCGTGTACTTTACAGAGCTGTCCGAACGGTTATATACAATAAGATCGTCCCCTTCGATTCGACAGACTCTTAGCTCGGAAAGCTCCTCCGCAGAGCCAAAGAGGACTGACAGGGTAGCATCCCGACAGAGGGAAGCAAGTTCCTGAGGCTCCTAAAACACCTTGACGGAAAATTGACAAGCATACCACCCAAACAGGACAACTTTGGTCTTCCTCTTCCTTATTCTCACAGAGGCTTGAGTGAAAAAGATGTTCCCTATGAATAAACTCAGCCTTCGCCAAGCATGCGGAAAGCAAACACCGGTATTCCTCTTTCCTATCGGGATTTGATTTAAGCTCTTTTAGAAGATTACACGCGGCCGTTCTGTAACACTCAAACGCATCCTTCCAGTGACCCTCGCGAGAAAACTTCTTCGCCGCCTGAATATCAGTTGTGACTTGGGATGTAGGTTGACCAATGAACTCCCAAACCAAGGGTAAAGAGTCCCCGTCCAGTTCATTGTCCGTACTGCTGGATAGGGGGGATTCAAGATGATATGAAATTTCTCGGCGTTTTGGAGAATGTAATTCATTACTATCC